GAGCTCGGTGCCGAAATTTCTGGAGTCCAAACGGCATTAGCCGCAACCGCGTGTGTAACCACACCGTACAACTGCTAAAGCACAGCATTATGCAACCTTATGTAAGGTGTTGCGCTGCGGTTGCACAAGACGCAATTTCACGACGCAAATTCAGCTGTCCGCTTTCTCCTACTTCCCCATACTCTCCATTCCTGGACACTTGTAGACGCTGGTAGACACTGGTGGATGCTGCCGTTCACTAGATCGATTTTTATACCTTTCCTCGCTGGTGGACGCTAGTGGACGCAGGCAGTCGCTGTTGGACGCTGCCGCAAAGTATGAAGGCGGCCTAAACGGACTCATGAAAGGGCATTCTCATTTTCCCGCCCTCCATGGCGCTAAATGAGGGGGGAACATGGGCTGGATCAATGACTCATTCCTCCTCTCCGCCCACCCAAAAATTTTGAATAGTTTGCTGAACCTTCATAACCTTCAATCTATTGTTGTATGATTTCAGTTGACAGCTTTGATGACATGTGTCGGTCCGGAGCTGGGATCGTGTGGCACTATTGAGGGAGTGCGCGCTTCGCTGTTGGCAGCGTGTGCGATACAGGTTGGTTACAAGTCCGTTTTTTTGAGCAAGGTAGAGGAGGGGGCACGCGGCGGAGAGACTTGGCCACGTCACTTTTGTCCTGGAAGCGTCTTCTGATCGAATATGGGAGTGACATACCTACCCACCATAAGCACTCGAGAGAGAACAAGGTTACAAGGCATCACGTAATCGCCCCTTCCGTATTACGGCTCCTATTCTTTTTCTAAGGTTCTTTCTAGTTTTTTTTCTCGTATAATTCGCTCTCACCCCCGAGAACGACCTCATTTTGGAGTCCCTTTTTTATTTTTTTGGAGTTTTCCTATCGTTCCATTGATTTGCGTGCCTTTTATGCAAATGAGGGAGCCTCTGTGAGAGAGAATTGAATTTTTTTGAAGAATCTTTTTTACAGTTAGCCCATCCTGATCCACTGATAAAATCAGAGGCTATTGGTGGCCTACAACAGATGCATCTCTACGCTCCACGATACGTCAACTTGGGTCACCTTGTCGTCGACATAGCAACGTGAGTATTTTCTCTTTTACAGCCACAATACCGCACCGAACACGTAGCGAGCGTAGAACAACCAGAAGGGAGGGGGCGCAGACAAGCAGGCGTTTGGCTATCCAAACAGGGTAGTGATTCCCTCTCCCGACAACTTCACCGTAGGAGAGCTAAGGTTCCGTTTTACTCAAGTGTCCACCAGCGTCCCCAGCGACCACCAGCATTCCCAACGTCCGACAGCGTCAGCGACTAAGAAAGTATAGTTATCGATCAAACGGACGGCGGCGGTTGCCAGCGGTCATCAGCGTCTCGAAGGACTAGGAAAGTATGTATATCGAACTAGCGTCCACCAGCGACCAGGAGTACGGTATTGTGTAGCAGTACTCTGCGGTAGCACATGCGACAATTTCACGACGGCTTATACAGCTGTCTCGTCCCTACTACTTACTTCCCCATAATCTACCAGTCTGCTGCCCTCCTAC